CAGCTTTCCTGCTCCTCTGATGCTGCTTGGCCTGCTGCATTCATTCAGCTCTACACCTTGTTGTTCCAGTAACAGCTGCCTGTTTTCCACACATTTTTCTCTGCAAATTCCCTGTTGAATGAGGAATAAAATGCCTTTTAAAGGCAGTGAAAAGATTAATATTCAATCAGTAAATGAAAGAGTGCATTGGTGTGCAAACAACCTTGTGTGAACAGCAAAGTATTAAAGGGAATTGGAAGATACCAAAAGAAACAACTCATTAACTCCACAGGTCCAGACCTGTGCTATTGAACCGTGTTTCCCTGATTTTTTTTTCCACTTCCACCCTTAATATCCTTTATCAGTCTTTGAGTGTCTTTCTATATGTGAGAGACGGAATTTAAGAAGGGGTAAATAATAAAATTAAGTTATGGAGTTAGAAGTTATAGAGTTACAAGTTAACGACTCATTTTAATTGCTATTGGTTAAAGGTAATTGGTTCATGTCAAGCTGTAATTTTCTTGTTAAGTACAGGAACGTAATTATTTTTTAACCTGGGTAAGTCAGCCAGGTAACCTGATGCCTTTGGGTAGTTTGACTAAGTCATTTCAAAGTTGTGACAAGATAGGGAGTAGTGGGGTTTGATTTCCAAAGTGGTAAATGCTGTTTATTCACTCCTGATTGGGAAATCTGGGCCATTGCCTTTCCCAGTGATTTCCCACTGAGTCATGACATTGTCGAGAATCTACCTACCTTCTGAATTAAACATATTCAAAGCCCTGGTTCCGCAGCCTTTTGGGAAATGGAGTTGCAAAGATTCACAACTCTCCTGTCAAAAACAATTTCTCTCTATTTTTGTCTTAAGCTGGATAATATAAAGTCAAATAGACAAGCTCTTATTTATAAACAGTGACACCTAGTTCTAGATAGTCCCACAAGAATAAATATGCTTACCACATCTATCCTGTCAAGACCCCTCAGGATCGTATGTGTTTCAGTCATGTCACCTTTCATTCTTCTGACCTCCAGCAGATACAAGCCCAGTCATAAGACAACTCACCCATTGCAGGTATTAGTCTAGTAAACCTTCTGTGAATTGCATCTGATACTTTTACGTTCTCCCTTAATACTGTACACAATGTTACAGTCCAACGTAAACTAGTTTTTGATTTTGATTTTATCGGCACATGTATTTTGCAATAAGAATACAACAAAATACAGTAAAAAGATTTAATTTGTTGCCTTGAATCAATGCCATTTTGAATAATTTAAGAATAAGGAAAAAAATGAGAAAAGAAAGACATAGCTTGAAGAGAGTCCATCAGTCCTGAGCCAGCTCATCACGGTCAATGATACCTGCACCGCCTTCCCTCCATCACCACTTCGTCACCGTCTACACTGGACCCAACCAACATGGAAATAGCTGATCCTCAGGTGCCATCTTTGCCGCTGGGCTGACACACCTCCATCACCGCCTTGCCGCTACCTGTGCTGGACCAACCAACGTCAGAGTCGCTTCTCTCACCACTGGGCTCACCTCCCTGCTGTTTCCGTGATGCCCTTCCATCATCGCTTGGCTGCCACCAGCGCTGGACCCAACCAACAAGGAAGTTGCCGATCCTCAGGCGCCATCATTTGCCCCTGAGCCTGCCTCGTCGACGTCACCTCCGGCAATGTAGCAGCCACTGATTCCTGGTCCTGTGCTTGATCCAGAAAAGTAAGTAGGGGCTCATTCCCCTCCACACTCGGCCTGCTCGAAGTCTGCAGTAGGCCCTCCCCAGGTCCGTGCCCTGGGCCCAGCTTGAGACCGCTTGAGGTATGCGCCCTGGGTCTACTCTCGCAATGTCATACAAGCTCAGGGCAAGGTAAGTTTTAAAAAAAGAAAAGAAACAGAAAAACAAAGACAAAGAAAAGCAGTCAGATCAGGTGAGTTCCAGCACAGGAGCCATTCTCTGCCGCCATCTTGGGCCCATTTAATGTTACTAGTTGTCAAGGGAAGCTTGACTCAGGCTGCGTGTAAATCCTGATCTCCTTGTCGTGGAGAAGGCTGCACTCTGATAGTCAGAAACAACAACTAAGGGTCCACCAGCTTTAATGGTGCTCTTTTTGTACATTCCCTGCTTATCACTAATTTTATGAGTATACTTGAGCTATTCCAGGAGAAGTGTAATAGACATTTTTCACGTGCGACATTTTCCATTTTGATACTTTGATGTACACCAGATGCACTAAATGCTATACTTCTGTTATGTGCATGGATCAATGTCATATTCCTCTATTTATTTGATATACATTGTTCCAAGTTGAATAAATAGCATTTTCCCTTTTACAAATCAGAGTGTATAGTACTGAAGCTCTAAAAGTGACTAAAAATGTGATGTTAGGATTCTACAACCAAGTCTGTTTTCCAGAAGCGAATTGCCGGATAAATCTTCTCACTCTCACATTGTGAGATCTATCAGTATTTTCCACGCCAACATCTTCATGTCATTTCTAGGTAAACTTAAACTATGTCTTACTTTTCAGAAGTTGAACAACAGTCGTAGGAAATATTGCCCACAATTCTGTGTTAAGTCAAATATCTATCCAGTTTGTTTGAGAATAGAGAAATTTATTTAACATTCCAATGGTAGTCACGCTTATTGTCATTGGGATCCTGCTAAACTTTTTAAATTCAATAGGATTTAGTCACCACAAATTATTTACTAAGGAGGACATTGACCAAAATTAGATTGTGCATTAAATTCTTTACTAACATTGGAGTCAATAGTTATTGGGGTTAAGAGGAATGTGGAGTTGAAGCCAGAATCAGATCACCCATGCTCTCATCAAATGGTGGAGCAGGCTCAAGGGGCTGAATGGTCAATTCCTGCCATTAATTTTTGTGATCATATATTGTTTATGTTCATAATAACTAATTCAGAGCCTACTGCCCAAACATTGGAGAGGAAGTTGGAAGTCAAGTTGTCAACTTCCTATCAAACGAGGGCACAAATTAATTGCAAAACAGTTGGATCATGGCGTCTTTGGCTAGTGAGGGAGAAGGGGACGAGACTGTGGCCAAGTGGTCATCAAACACCGAGGCATAACATAATATTGGCTAAACAGTTTCTGCCAGCAAGGCCTGATGGATTGCAAAGAGGCCAATGTTACCACAGGTCAAAAGCAAAAAAAGGACCAGCTCAGATCTGTCTTGCATATTGAACAGGAATGCTTGAAACTCATTAAGAAAAGCTCAGCCAGAAAAATGGGGAGTGACGTTATGTTTGTGTATTCCCAGTTTCAGTCAGACGCCTTGGCACCTTGGAGTAATCATGTCTTGGAAAGGGTATGACCTAGGATGATTTGGTCTAACCCTATTGGGTACTGTGATCCATGCCATGTGACCCCATTGGCTGAAGTCAGAGAACATTCCAGAAAGGCTCAGGAAAAAGGGATAAGAAGAGACACCTGGTGGCCATTCCCCCCAGCATAGATTAGGCCTGCAAAGACTCTGTGTGAGACCCATCTTTGCACTAAAATGACCCTTACTGCATCAATCGTCAGAGCTCAGTGAATTGAATCTAGCAACCCAATCAAGTTCACCATAATGTGTAGTATATGTGTTTTTCAGGCAGTCAACTTAGTGTGGGAAAAGTTAACTTAATTTGTGTAAGAGTTGTTTACTTTAAATTGCAAGTGTTTTAATAAAACTAAATTTGAACTCCTTTTTTGTCACATATAGTAACAGCACCTGGGTAAACATATTTTATTAGTAATAAACCACTCAAAGTGTCTGTGTAGAATATTTCACAGGTAACAAGACAGATTTTGCCTTCATGTTTGAGATAGAACCAGTCAAATTCAGTGAAAGGTTGACCAAAAACGTCATCAAGTTCGTCCTCTAACTGGAATAACATGTCATAGCTTGTGGTTTCATGAAAGGAACTATTATGGGATATGTTAAAGTTGGGAATTGAATTTTATGATTGGGCAGTTGTAATCAATTAAATGAGCGTGCTTCTTAATTTTTTTATCTGTTTTACCTCCAAAAATAGCATAAAGCTAAATGATAGACC